TATACCTATTGCAGGTTAAGTCAAATGAAGCAGTCTTTATGTTAGGTGATGCTATTGAGTTCCTTCCCAACTCTGTCACTTTGAGGATCTTTTCTGCCTGACAACTCAAATCTGCGTTACCCACTTGCACAATTCCCTAATATTGTCCTGTAATTACCTATAGGCATGATTTTTAACTTCACTATATTGTGACCTCTCTCATACTCTCCAAGTGCTAGAGTAAAATGCCTAACCTAGGACTGTTGGGGGAGAGACTGCCTGGTTCCTCTCTTAGTTAAATGGGTTTCTTTTCAACAGTCTTTGCTTCTCAGTAGTTTGCAAGGCCAACTTCATCTTAGCTGTCTTTGTGACTTTAAATTCCAAATGGAGTAAAGTTGGTCTCTCTAAGCTCTTGAACTTTTTCCTGCTGTGTCAGTGAGAAGAGAATGTGGCCTGTAGGAACAAGCTGATTTATACTCAACTTTTGTTTAAGCTTCTCATGACTCAGCTTGTCTTCCTATGAACCTTAACCAAAATCAGTGTTAATGGTTTCCTTGTGGGTAATTGTTTCATCTTTCATGTTGCTATCAGCACAACTGAAACTGTCATTTTTCTTTTTGCTGACAATGTTTCCAACATCATTTGTCTAAAAATATCTCAGTCAAGGTACAGACTTAGAGAGATATTAATTAATGACACATTTTCCATACAGGAATGTGAAATGGGCCATAAATGTAACAGCCAACATTTTCTGAGTATTAGGTTTGTGTATTAGTGCATGATTTTTCTGGACATTTTTCTTGTTTTCTTTCTTTCTTTTTTTTTATTGTTTTGTTATTCATATGTGCATACAAGGCTTGGGTCATTTCTCCCCCCTGCCCCCACCCCCTGCCTTACCACCCACTCCACACCCTCCCTCTCCCCACCCCACCCCTCAATACCGAGAATAAACTATTTTGCCCTTATCTCTAATTTTGTTGAAGAGAGAGTATAGGCAATAATAGGAAGGAACAAGTGTTCCTGGTTGAGATAAGGATAGCTATACAGGGAATTGCCTCACATTAATTTCCTGTATGTGTGTGTTGCCTTCTAGGTTTTTCCTTCCTTTCAGACAAGGTCTTGCTAGGTTACTCAGGATGATCTGGAACCTGCTGGTTCATGTGATCCTCCTGCTTCACCCTCCTGAGGGCTAGGACTACAGGTATGCACTACTGTGCTGGCTTTATTTGTATTGTTTAATCTCCTACAAGAACCCTGTAAAGTACATACAGGATCCATTGTGCAAATAAGAAAGTTGGGAAGGTCCTGGTTTATGCAGATAATAAGTCCTGGAATCTGCTGGCTTCAGAGCCCTCAGTGTCTCATTGCCTTCCAGTCCTGTCCAATGAAGTGTAACATGACATATTGTTTTCTTTGTGTTCTATGTTTTTAAACTTTGATATCTGCTTGAATAACTTAGTTATTTATGAAAGGATAATCAGTGTGATCTCCAGGAATGGTCTATTTGTCCAGTAAAATTAATGTTAGAGTTGATTTTCAGGAATTACTAATGTTAGCCTACTCAACATTCAAGGAAAATGTTTTTTTCTAGGCCTCTGATGTACCAGGTTCTTCTAGATACAGAGAAGAGTAAAGCAATGAACTAAGTATCCTCCTGCAAGTATGTTAGGAGTCTCTTTTCATATTGCCTCACACGTCTCTGTGCATCTATTGTAGTTCATGTCCCCTTGTCTACAGAAATTAGGAAGTTTAGCTGATTTTATGGGTTATTGCTGTACTAGAAAGCCATATTTCCTAGCTCTTCTTTCACTGAAACATGGTGCTTCCACATGTCTTCTGTTAAGTTAGAGCCTAGAAGAAAGTAGAAATATTCAATATTGGGGAGACAGAAATAAAACCAGAAGCTGGGACTTGAAGAGTAAGGAACAAATAACCATGGGTTAGCAATGCAGTATGGGACCCAGCATATCAGATGGCCTTCAAGGGTCCCCACCTGCTGGTGGTGACTTCCCTCTGTGCATTTGCTGAATTTCTTGACTTGGAATGAAGTGAAGGTATTTCTTCAAAGGTGAAGGGATGTTACCTTCAAGATTAGGTTACAAGAGGGGGAGGTTCTGTCTTGTGTGCCCTTTTTCTCTTACCCTCAAGGTCAGTTACCATATGAACTGTCTTATGGATGACCCCATGTGGCAGGAAACTGAGGCAGGCTTCCAGCTAATGGGAGTGGATGCTAATCCTTAGCCTAAGGAACAGAGCGAGAGTGAGCTTGGATCCTCCCATAGCACCTCATTGAGACTATAGCCCCAGCCAATACCACTATTGCAGTTTTATAGGGACCTTGAAGCAAAGGCACCCAGCTAAGTAAGCTGCATCTGAATTTCTGATCCACAGCAGCTGTAGGGTGATCAATATGCTGTGCTCCAGCCCTTGAACCTTAATGTAACTTGCAGGGCAAAATTGAATAACGAATATGCCTGGTGATAAATTGAGTGAGGATTCTGTGTTCTTTCTACATTAGTAAGTAGCACCTCATAAAAATCATATTCCCTGTTGAGGAACGGTCACCTTGATATAATTTAGCTAACCGGGAGTCAACTCCCTAACTTGACTGACTTTGGACAAGGAACTGAGAATCCTTTGAACCTTTGCAACCTTAGTGTGTGTGTGTGTGTGTGTTGGTGTGTGTGTGTGTTGCCAGGGATTAAACTTTAGGGCCTCACACGTGCTAGACAAGTGCTCTGCTGCTAGCTACACACACACACACACACACACACACACACACACACACACACACACTCAGTTGGAGTTGTCTTGGTTTTCTGCATACTTTCAGGACTGAAGAGTTTAGCACATTCCCTCTCTATAGCTCTAATATCAAACTATTATTTCTCAAGTAACTGTGAACCCTTCTAGTAAACTTGCACAATCCCTATGTAAAAGAGCACTTTGCATTAGTTGAATATATCAATGAATGTACTATCCAATTTCTTGATTTTAGAATTTCAACAACTGAAAACATACAACCCTCCTAATCACCAAATTAAGGGACTGATAGAAGATAATCTAGTAATATGTAAATTTTATTCTAAGTCCTGATTTCTGAAGTGCTAACATTTGCTCTTTAAATTAAAGAAGTATGACATCTTCGCAGTCTGCATCTTTCCAAAGTTGCATCTCTTAATTAAACTTCCTGCCTGAAGACCCTTTGTCTTCATCCTCCTTTCTTCTCTGCCTCATGTGGCCCATCGCTCAAAGGGGAGCGAATTAAGGGAAACTGTGACAGAACAGTGACAATGTTGATTTCCAATGGGATTTTTGGGGGATGAATAAAATATGAGAGCTCATGGGTTGGGATTTTTTGAGAACTTAGTTAGGAGCATATGACATTTATTAAAATGTTTGTAGGCACATGATATTGCAGGAGATAAGATGAGAAACCTCTAGATATTCACAAGTAAAGATTCACCTAGGGAGCAGTCACAGGAATAATAGTGGATACAGTTGAAGGACACATTATATATTTTCTGAGTTTTTCTTGAATATGAAAGATTTTATTATACTTTTGCTGTGTCCTGAGGATGAAATCTTAAACTAACTTGAGCATTTCCTTCCCGGTTTTCCCACCAGTGTCACAAAAGAAATACAGAGAATTTAGTGCCTAATTCCTGCTAATGAATTCCAAAGTCAGATATGTTTGCATTCACTTAGATTTCTTTACGGTCCACACACCTCCATACATGAATTTTCTGCTTACTTCAGTTTTATGCATTTTGTTACACATTACCCCAGGAACACAAATCATTAGTTAATTCTACTTAATTAATATTTTAAATATGAATGAATTTAGTTGGACTGTGCTTTTACTATTTTGAAATGTTAAACGGTTTTTTGCTCCATTTGCCTGACATGATATAAGGGTAAGTGTTGTCTAATAATCTTAGGCTCTTAGATTTGCATAGGAGACCTATATTTTTCAAACTGAGATAGTGCATTATTATTAGGTGGAAGTATCACATTCTACTCAGTACAGTATTTGTTGGTGAATTTGGGCTCTGTTCCCAGAAATACTAAATTACCTTGGTTAGATTTCTCATCTATCCTGTGCTTCCATTCCCACTTTTCTTTCTTAATTCCTTCTTGAGATTTTGCCAGTGTCAACTAGAAAATGTCTCATGAATTTTCAGCTTTAAAATGCCTCAGTTATCAAAATAAATATATTCAATTTGTGATTATCCACATTGTGGTTTCCTCCTGGAAACCTTTAATCCCACAAGAGCTTCCCTCACTGGCTACTTTGCACAAATCCATCTGGGCCAATTCACACTATTCCTGGTTTATGTGTATTTTGGTAAATGCAAGATTGTATCAATTATCCTATACCTAAAACAAGCAATAAAGTGTACATACTTTAGAACATAACGGGACATTTGAGGTATTCCAGGCTCTGTTAACTATTTTGTTTCTCCCCTGTATAACCATGGGGGGCTTTGTATTTCAAGGATAGATTTTTAAGAACAAATCTGTCCTAATCTTAATACCATATCAAGGAATTGCCCTTCAATTGTAACAAGAAATGCACCTATCTTTTCCACATCATGCCTGCAAGTTTAGTATTTAAACAAGTGTTCACATTTGTTAAATAGTTTAGATAAATTGCCAGATTTATTGGTATAAATCTAGGGCACAGCGTTTTAGGAATAATTTGCCTATTTTTCTGGTAGTGGGATAGATTTTTTTTAAATGTATTCAGCTGAACCATAAAAAGACAGACTTAAACATTATCTCTGTACTTTGGGCCATATTCATGGGATTAAGTATTTGTGAAGCAAGTGGAAGATTTAATATTTGACACCTGACCCATTGAAATTTCTAGGACATAGTCTTTGAGCAAGTGGGAGTCCTGGAGTTAGAGCTCCTGTACTCTTTGAATGCTTCGTCATGAGCATCATCTGACATGGCCAAACACCTTTTCACAGCTGGCTTCTGGCAACTGACATTATTTCTTTTGTCTTTTTCCATAGCTGTTGTGAACTTGGACAATTCTGTGGTTGACCTGGAGACCCTTCAAGCTCTCTATGAGAATGTGAGTAGTAGATGGAGGTTTATGTGTGAGTGTGTGTGCACCTGTAGGCTGGTTGTTTAATGTCACATGTGGAAATTTCATCTGGGTGCAGTAACTTACTAAGTAGGGATTTCTTATAATATTTTCTAGGAACGTATCGGGCAGATGTGTAGCCTCATTGCTTTGAAGATTGTGATTTCTAAGATGTTGCCTATGAGCTTACTCAGGTTCCCTCTTTTAAAGTCAAGGCATTGCTTCTGTGGGAGCTCATTTAGCCAAGTGTCGTTCCACACACTTCACACACAGTGATTTAGAAAATTGCATTGCACAGATTTAGCCTTTCAAAGTAAACTAATTTCACAAAATATAATTTTCTGACTCAGGACAAATTGTGCTATTTGGAATTTGTGTATAGCTTCTTTCTTAAATTGTTTTGCGTAATTTTTTTAAATTTTCATTTTTGTAAGCTGATTACAATTGTACATATTCATGGTACAAAATAGTGTTATAATTTATGAATATAAATGAATATAATGTGGAATACTTAATCTATTTAATATATGCTTTATATCAAATACTTGTTTTGTGGTAAGAACATTGGAAAGTTAGTCTCTTAGCAATTTTACCAGGTACACTGTGTTTACCACCTTTTTAATATGTCTAAAACAGCAACATATTCCTCTTGTTTTCATTGAAGTATTGTATCCTTTGATCATCATCTCCACATTCCCCCACCCCTGCCTCTGGTAACCACCACTCTATGCTGTTTCTTTGAGTTTGAATGGTTTAGATTCCATGTGAAAGCAATAACATGCAGTATTTGTGTGTGGATTTGTGACTGGTTTTCCAATTCCATCTATGTGGTTGCAAATGACAAAATTTCTCCTTTAAGGCTGGATAGTATTCTGTACATGTGAGTGTGCTGGCTTTATACACAAGTGTTACATTTTCTTATGCAGTCATCTATTCACGGAATCTTAGGTTGATTCTGTTTCTTTGGCTATGTGAATAATGCCGTGGTGAGCGCATATCTCTTCAGTGTACTGATTCCAAATTTGGGAGTCAATGCTGAGATGCAGGATTGCCAGAACATATATTAAATTTACTTAGTTTTTGAGAAATGTCCATACATTTTCCATAATATCTGTACCAATTTGTATCACCACCAGGTGATACAAACCCTGCCTACAGGGTTGCCTTTGTTCTGCATCCTCACCAACAGTTTTATCTTTCCTCTTTTTCCTTATACCCACTCTGGAAGGTGTGAGATGATGTCACATTGTGATTTAATTTACATTATTTCCCTAATGATTAGTTATGTTGAGCATCTTTTCATATATCCATTGGCCATTTGTAAGTCTTTTGAGAATGTTCTATTAAGTTCCCTGGGTGATTTTTAATTGAATTTTTGTTTTCTTTCTATAGAGTTGTTTGAGGTCCTTATATACTTTGGCTATTAATACTTTATTAGATGTAGTCCTCCCTTTCATAGTTTATGTATTTGATACTGCATCATGTGTAATATGTATCATCTGGTAATTTATGTTAACTGTATTTGTTATTAGCAGTTTTATCTTTGACCTTCATACTATGGATAAAAGTGCTTTAAATACCCATCATTTCAGCCTTAGAGTGTTCTGGTCATGGTTCTGCATTACCTATATCACTGATTTTTGTGTTTTTGTATCTTTTGTGTTATTAATTAGTGGCCTTTTGTTTCAGCTTAAGGAATTCCTTTTGTAGGGCAGGTCTCATGGTGGCAGACTTCCTCAGCTTGTGTTTATCAACATTTTTATTGCTTAGAAATGGCTTCTCTGGGTATTCAAGTACTCCTGTTCAGCACTGACTTTTCATTCAGCACTCTTTCCTGGCCTGCAGGGTTTCTGCTGCCTCATCTCCTGGGTATGTTATATGTTTCTCACCCCTTGCTGCTGCAGGCATCGTTGGCTTTGATGTTTGGTAGTTTGATTGTTACGTTCTTACAGAATTTCTCTTTGAGTTATATTTGGTTGAAGATCTCTGTGCTTCCTGCACCTACAGGCCGGCATCTTTCCCCAGATTAGGTATTTAGCCGTTATTCCCTTAAATAGGTTTGCTTTTTTTTTTTTAATACCTTTTCTCTTTCTTTTCTTCTTGAATTTTTATCATGTATAGGCTAAGTCTCTTGATGGTGTCTCATAACTCATGCTTTCCTTTTCTTTTTTTTGTTCTCTGGTTGAAATAACTGTGTTTTGTTTTAAAGCTCCTCATTCTTCACCTCAATCAACCCTGCTGTTGTTGCTTCCTATTGTGTTTTAGAGTCCAGTCATTGTATTCCTCATCGCTTAGGTCTCCTTTTTAAAATCACTGTTTCCATTTCTATGCAAACTTTTTATTTGGTTTATGTATTTTTCCCAAATCTCTTGTAATTTTTTTATTTGTATCTTCCTGTAGTCCACTGGCCTTAAGAAAAAATTATTCTGAATTCTTTCTCATTTTGTACATCACCCTTCTTTGGGATCCACTGTTAGAAGTTCGTTAGTTTCTTTTGAGGGTATGATTTTTGTGAGTCCTTGCATTGTGCATTTGAGAGGCAGTCCCCTTTTACATGTGTTCTGTACAGGGCAGGGCTGTAGTTCTGAGTCTAACTGGTGATTTTTAGCACAGCTGAGAGTGCTTCTTTGTGTGCGTTTTGAGGCTTTGCTGAGCACTTTTGAAGCCCTAGGCATGGAGTGTTGGAGCACAAGGCTAGTCCATTCTGTGGCCCACACTGGTAGCTCAGGCTTATTCCCAGTTTGTTTTCTGTTTGCATGTAGCTGCTAGCTGAATTTGCTGTGGGGGCAGTGAGGACTGGGACCTCCTGTTTTGTTCATCTTGCTTACATTACTTCTGACTCTTTTTGGTCACACGCTGTAAAAGTAGGATTACCAAAGACTAGGTGAGTTTTCAACAACAGGAATTTTATGTCTCACGGTTCTGGAAGTCCAAGATCAAGGCAATGGGAGATTCTGGTCCTAGATGGTCATCTTACTAAAACCTCACATGAGAGAAGGGGCAAGCAAGCTCTCTGAGATCAACATTTATGAGTGTACTATCCTGTTCATGAGGACACTACCAAAAGGTCACACTTCTTAATAATGTCACCTGAATTTGGGAGGAATGGCAATAGTCAGTGTATGGCATCCTAGCTACTGGTGCAATTTACAAAATTTATTCTCTCTGTTATTGCTAAACTTGATGGTTCAGACTATCAGTGTGTCAGGAAACCAGTTACATTTTAGAGAATGGCTCACAATAATATTACTTCTTGTACTACAAGGCTAGAATTTTTTTATACACCTGTAGTACAGGAAATTTACAAGTATAATATGGATAATAGATTCTCATATATATGCAAGTAGAACTCATGTGAATTCCTGATTGACATCCATTAAAATACAAGTCAGAAAGGCAGAAATATCAGTTATCTATAGCAGTAGTCCTAGTACGTGTAGACTTAAAGACCTTTTTTGGTACATAAGCATTACTCAATAAATATCAGGTTGGTTTTTGTTTTTTTTTTTATAGCACTGGGGTTTGAACTCAACACGTCATCCTTGCTAGATAGCTCTCTACTACATTGACCACATCCCTAGCTCTTTTTTGTTTTAGTTCTTTTTTCAGATAGGGTCTTAGAAAAAGAAGAAACTGAGGCAGAAAATTCATGCACTTGAAGCTGAGGTTGATACCTGCTCATTCTCCCTCTAAAGATAGTGTCTTAAGCACAGAACTTTCTAGCTCACGTGATGATAAAGAAAGCCTACAGGAGCAACAGAGACAGCACTGGAAAGAAGGTGGATCATGAAGCTAGAAGAACTTCCTTCAGGCCTAGTTCCACAGATTGACAGATGTGTGACTTTAATAAGCATCTCCTCTCCAGCTTACTGTTCTTCACTTCCAAATAAAGAACTGTGTTCAATGAATGTAAGAAGTTAGTGGTGCAGTGGCTCACACTGTAATCCTGGGATTGAGGGATCACGGTTCAAGCCCAGCCAGGCAAATAGTTCACAAGACCCCATCTCCAAAAATCAGAGAAAAATGTACTAGAGTGTGGCTCAAGTGGTAAGAGTGCCTGCTTTGCAAATGTAAGCCTGGTTAAACAAAACCCAGTCCCACCAAAACAAAAACAAAAACCCCAGTAGTTTCTACACTAGTCATTCTTATTGTTGCTTTCTTGTTATTCCCACGGGGATAGAACCTTCAGGGCCTCCAGCTTGCTAGTCTTGTTGTTGTGTCCACCGGAGATAGAACCTAGGGCCTTCAGCTTGCTAGTCACCTGGTGATGGCTATGCTCCGAGTCCTGTACTATTTTTTGGTATAAAAGTTAGACATAGAATTTATTGACTGTCAACCTGTAACTAACTTTCTCATAGACTAGTAGGATGGAGGGTAACAAAGGTTGGGTGCTATGTAAATTAAGGAAAAAGTATGTTTTTTCCAAGCTTCTGATGATTTTGCAAAAGGCAGGCCAAATGCATGTTTCCAGGAATATGAATTAGTAGGCTTTTTTTTAAAAAAAGTTTTTCAAGGTGCAGAATGATTCCACATTATTCCCAGTTACCATTTTAACCTTGTATTTTACTTTTGAAACAATCTCAAAGATAATAAAGTTGCAGGTTAGTACAATGAACTAAAAAATCCTTTTCCAAATCCCAAGACTGCAAAAAAAAGTAAAAATAAGCACTCTAAATACTGTGGCATATATTTTTCTTTTTTTTTTCTTTCTTTCTTTCATTTTTTTTTTTTTTACAAAGAAGCACAACTTAAAAACAGTGCAACTGTTAGTATCAGAAATTGAAGTCTGAGGCTTTATACTGCCCCAAGCTCAGTATCCAGTGGTACTTTGCTTGTCTTCCATGATACCCCTCAGCCAACCACGGTGCTGAATCTCACAGATCTCTCTTCCTTTGTTTGCTTAGGCATTTGTGCCTTGTCTTCTGACTTCAGTACAAATTCTGTATTGGTAGAATTTTTATATCCAGTGTGAACATTACTTGTTTATA